CAGCGAAGTTATTTGTAGAACACATTTTTAGGTTGCACGGGGTGCCATTGAGGGTGGTCTCAGACCGAGGAAAACAATTTACTTCCAGGTTCTGGAGGAAGCTCATGAGCTTACTGCAGGTGGAGGTCAACTTTTCGACTGCCCGGCACCCTGAAACCAACGGGCAGGCGGAAAGAGCAAACGGTGTCCTCCAGCAATACCTGAGGTGTTATGTCAATGACAGAGAGAATGACTGGGTAGAAAAGTTGGCGCTGGCGGAATTTGCCTACAACAATGCCGAGAATGTGTCCACAGGGATGAGCCCCTTCTTGGCTAATTATGGGTGTCATCCCAGGGCTTTCCCAGGGGAGAAGGGGAGAGATGGAGCGTACCGGCAGCCGAGCATTTTGTAGAAGAAATGGAAGCAATCCACCGTCAGCTCCAACTCAACTTAGAAAGGGCGAAGGAAGAATACAAGAGGCAGGCAGACAAGAACCGAAGGGAAGGTGAAACCATAAGGGTTGGAGATAGGGTGTGGCTGTCAACCCGAGGGTTGCCGTTCAAAGGAGGTTGTAAGAAATTAAGACCCAGGAGGTTGGGTCCCTTTGAGGTCATTCAACAGGTCAACCCAGTGGCTTTCAGGCTCCGGTTACCCAACCACATGAAACTGCACCCAGTATTTCACAGGTCGTTACTGTCACCGTACGAGGGGGGGACGAGAAGGGATGGCCACTCGGGGACCGGTCATAGAAGAAAGAGAATGCAGCAGTCATGTGGCAGAAATCCTTGATGCCAGGTGGAAGGGGACTCAGGTGGAGTATTTGGTAGCGTGGGAAGGAGAACCGGAGTCAGAAAACACGTGGGTAATGGCCGAAGATATCAATGACGAGGTATTGATAGAAACGTTCCATCAAAGGTTCCCGAGGAAACCTCAGCCTGTGGAGAGGTTCCGGAGGGAATACTTTGGGACCACTGAGGAGGAGGAGGAGTTGGAAGGATTCCCAGAATCGGAAGGGGAAGGGAGATGGACTCGGAGGAGGAGGAGTGCTTGAGACCAGGAACCGCAACAGGTGGAGAGAGTGTTCGAGACATCGGAAGATGAAGGAAGTTCATTCCGGGGTTTTGCCTCCTCACCGCCCGTAGAGGTGTTGGCGCGAGGGGGTGAAGGGGGCCCTGGAGGGGAGGTGGATGTCAGGGAACTGCCATCGGAAGGAAGGGAGGTGAAAGGGCTCAGACAGGTTGGAAGAGACTCAGCAGCTGAAGAGGAAACCAGCAGGGGGAGAGAAGCTGAACTGAGGGAAAGGGAGCTGGGGGATGGCTCAGAGATACTTCCAGCGAAAACAGTGGTGAGGTTTCCGGACCTCCTGTAGGGACACCCACTCCTCGCCGGAAACTGTCACGCAGAGAGTCCAGAAGACGTGTTTCCGTTAAGGAGCTTTTATGTTGGAAGCGATTACGAAGCAACCACTGTCGGAATCTTCTAGTGACTAGAGGAGCCATGTCAGAGGGGCTCCGTCACAGACAGAGGTTTGTGGACTTGAACAAACTCTGAGGGAATACGATTTTACGCACAAGCAGCTCATTTTCCCATCACAATTATTTTCCAAAAATCGGTCAATGTCTAAATCTTTCTGAGTCTCCTGCGTGTATAGTTGTTTAAAATAATTCTGAAAGCACTTCCGAATCTCTCCAGGATTCTGTATATTCTTTCCTTCTACAACCAAGTTCGTGATTGTATTCAGCTTTTGTCTTTTCTTCATTTGCCAAGCCAATAGCTTCCCACATTTATTTGCCGATTCAAAGGTCTTTTGTTTCATCTGTTTAATCTTCCATTCTATCTCCTGATTCATCAATTTCATATACTGTACTTGGTATAGCTTTATTTCTTTTAAAATCTCCTGTGAGTTCGGTTTCGCTCTCAGTCTTTTTTCCCCATCCTTTATTTTCTCCAGGATTTTTTCTCTCTTCTCATTTTGGCATCTTTTCCTAATTGCATTTTGTTGTATCAGAAATCCTCTCATCACCGCTTTGCTAGCATCCCAAATCACTCTTTTTTCTGTCGTAGTGTTCAAGTTTATTTCAAAATAGTCTCTCAAATTTTTTTGAGCCTTTTTAACAATTTCCTCATTCCTAAATAAGGAGTCATTCATCCTCCATCTAAAGGCCCCAATTGGCGTTAATGTCATTTCAATCTTTACTGGGTTGTGGTCGGAGCAGATTTTTGGACAAATCACTGCTTTTTTAATTTTAGGAGCCAGTCCTCTAGTTATCCAGATTTGGTCTATTCTTGTCCATGTCATATTTGCTTCAGAGAAGAAGGTTCCCTCTCTTTCCAAGGGGTTCTTTGTTCGCCAAATATCCACAAGATCCATATTGTCAGTCATTTCAAAAAAGTCTTTGGTAGTCTTCCATCTTTTGTCACTGTTTGTCTTTGGGCCTTGTCCATATTTGTAGACACTACTCCATTCATATCTCCCATCAAGATAATATTGTAATCCAAATAGTCCAGAAGAGTTTCATGCAATTTCTTAAAGAATTCTGATTTTCCCTCATTTGGTGCATATACTCCTAATATCAAAAATTTCTGTCCTTGGAATTGAATTTCAATTGCTATGTATCTTCCTTGATCATCTTTAAATATGAATTTTGGTGACAGGCTTTCTTTAGCATAAAGTACTACCCCTCTTTTTTTAACATTGTCCGATGAAATAAATTCCTCTCCCAATCTTTTATTTATCAAAATTTTCCGATGCAGCCTTGTCACATGAGTCTCTTGTAAACAGATCAAGTCCAAATGTTCTTTTTTCAATGTATGAAATACTCTTCCCCTTTTAGCCGACGAATTTAGACCATTAATGTTCCAGCTTAGAATTTGTAGTGTCATTTTGTAGCTATTCTCCTTCTCCTCCAACGGCCCCAAGAAGATTGTCTATATCTGTCGGTGGCGTTGGTTTCCCTTTTTTTTTCTGGTTCTTGTCCGGTATCGCAATGTCTTTTCCCAATCCTTTCAGTAGGTCTTCTTCATACGCACTCAGGAACTTGTTCTTTTCCTCCACTGATCTGATCTTGGTCTTTCTTCCCTTGAAGCTAAAAGATAGGCCTTGGGGAAATTCCCACCTAAAAAGAATTTTATTTTTTCTCAACAAGTCCACCAAATCTCCAAAATCCTTTCTCAAATCAAGAAGGTGTTTTGGTATATCTTTGAAGATTTCAACTTTTGATTGTATGATTGTCAAGGGTTTTTCGTAATGTAAACCCAAAATTTTGTCCCTTTCCTCCTTGGATCGAAGAGTAATCAAACAGTCCCTTATTTTAATCTTTCTTCCTCCTTTCCCCAATCGAAAGGCTCTCACAATCTTAAAATCCTCTTGTTTCAATTCCGATTTCCAAAAGTCCAAAAATTCCTGTGTCAAAAAGTCTGTCAAAGTACCTTTCTCCAGCTCAGGGACAGCTCTGATTCTGAGATTCATTTGTTTGTCTCTGAGATCTATCATAGATAGCGTTAACTTGTGTTCTGCAATCTCTTTCTGTATATCTGGTACTTTTTCAGTTTCCAACTGCCCCAATTTAAACTCAACAGCAGCTGTTTTTTCCTGTATTGACTTTGAGTCTTGCAACAGTTTCTGGATAGATTCCGTATTGCTGTTTACTTTTTTCTCCAAGTTACCTAATGTTTCTGTATTTAAATCAATTTTCCTGTTTGCAGTATCCACTTTCTGACAGGTCTCTTCCACCCTCTTGTTCGTCTCTCCCACTTTTGTAGAAAGCTGCTGTATTGAATCATTAATCTTAGAAAGAGCACTAGCTAGAAATTCCTCAGACATTCCACCAATCTTAGATTGTGTCGCCGATGTAGGCAGACCAGCAGATGATTGCCTTCTATGTGTCCAAGGTTTCCCTGATCTCAAGGTTGACTGGTCCTTAAACCCATCAGCCATAACAGAGTGAAGGTCAGGTTACTTTCCCACGTCCACTCTTCCTGTTTATACTTGGAAAATTCCTTTCCTTTCCTGCAGTTACAGAAAGCTCCACTAGATGGTTACTGTTGCCACTTAACAAGTTACTGTCTTTTAAAACGACAAGGAAAAGATACTCAGTAGAAGTAGAAAAATAATCCAAAGTAAAAGTTACAATATAACTTTTCAATCCTTTCCAGTCTTTTCTCAGTGAAACTGGCCACTCTGTATCTCCTTTGCAGCCAGCAGACTGCTTTAGCAATTTTGACAGCTTTGACAGCTGAGTGACAGATCGCTCATTTAATCTTTCAATTTAAAGAGTCCTATAAAGAAAGTCTTTCCTTAACTCTTCTAAGGGTAGATCCCTCCAAAGTCCTTAGGTTAGAAAATTACACTTATTTCAATTCAATTCTTCCCGTTTAGCTCCAAATCTCTTTGCTTTGTTCTTTATACAATGCAGTGAAGCCGACTTCCTGTTTACGCTTCCACCGCGGTAGCCAATTCAGCCATTTTTAAAGGCTTTAAACTTTTCCGCTTGTTTTCCAAAGTTCCAAATTAGTCCAAATTCTACTCTTTTTATCCAATTCCTCTACTCACGGTTAGTTTTTAAGTCCGAATTTCCAGGAATAAGTCAGCGCTCTCCAGCAACGGCAACGCGGCTTCACTCAGCGGGAGCAGCGATCCGCTCGCAGCACCGCGCTTCTCTCCCCCGCTCCCTTCCGAAGCCCCAAAGAGGCTTCTTTTCAGGTTGGGGGGGGCACTTCAAGGTGCCCGCCGAGCCTCCACGTTCGCAGACGTCCGCGCCTGCGATTTCTGAGGGTCCCCGCTTCGCCGGAGCGCACAGGACCCGATCTCCCGCCGAGCTACCCCCTCCGGACTTCAAAGGAGGTCAGCCATTGCTGCTGGCACCAACCGGAAGCCCTGGCCCTGGCAATTCCTCCCATTTTCACAGGGGTGCCAAGAGAGAAGCTTCCCCACACCTTGGTGGCTGCCAATCACTCCAGCTTCACCATCACCAAGCACTTCTTTCGTTCCTCTAAGCCGGCTGGAAGATTTTGAGAAGTCATGTCTGCCATGTCCCCTTCCAATCACACAGGCACCAGCCCTTCTTTCTTTATCCTGGTGGGCATCCCAGGCCAAGAGGATCTCCACCTCTGGATCTCCATACCCTTCTTCCTGATGTACCTGGTGGCCCTTTCAGGGAATTCTGGCCTCCTCTTGATCATCGCCACTGAGCGCAGCCTCCACCAGCCCATGTACCTCTTCCTTTCCCTTCTGGCGGGGGCCCATCTCATGCTCACCACCACTACGGTGCCCAAAATGCTCGACATCTTCTGGGCGGATGCTGGGGAGATCCCCTTCGCCGCCTGCATTGCCCAGACTTCCCTGCTCATTTTCCTTTTCGTTTCAGAGTCTTGCTGGCCATGGCATTTGACCGCTATGTTGCCATCTGCAGGCTGCTCAGGTATGCCACGGTATTGATGCCTCCGCTGATGGTCCGGATGGGGGTGGCTGGGGTGGTCCCCTTTGCCTTCCTCTTGAAGAGGTTGCCATATTGCGAGACGAACGTAATTCCCCACATGTACTGCGAGCACATGGCTGTGGCCGCTCTGTCCTGCGGAGACATCACTGCCAACAACATCTACAGGTTAGCCGTCTCTCCCCTGTCTACGGGGCTGGATGTGGTGCTCATTGCGGTCTCCTACGTCCTGATCCTAAGGTCCATCTTCCGGATGCCGTCCAGAGATGCCCGGGGAAAGGCACTCAGCACCTGCGGCTCCCACGTCTGCATCATCCTCATGTTCTACATCCCAGCGTACTTCACCATCCTGGCGCACCGCTTTGGCCAGAACATCCCCCGGTACGTCCACATCCTCTTGGCCAACGTGTACCTGCTCCTTCCCCCCATGTTGAACCCCATCATTTACGGGGTGAAAACCAAGGAGATTTGGGAGCAGGCAGTTCTCCTCTTCTCCCAAATTGGGAAGAGGTGCTGAATCCTGGCTCTTACCTGAGGGGTGGAACCGAGAACCAACTTCTTGCTGAAGGCTGACCTGAAGTCGGGACTCTTGGCTGCTCCTGTGGGCACATTTAGGAAAATTGCCATGGGCACCACTGTAACTATTATATCTTTGTTCTGTGTGATTCTTAAAGTTCTTTTCTTCATCAGTAATTTTGTTAAGGGTGTCTGGAGAGACTCTGAAGGATTTATACACAGGTAAGTAGCGAAGACCTCTCACACATCAAATGGCTGTACATGAACTTTACAAAAATGATAAATCTGCTGGCCAAAAGGTCTAAGGAAGTGAAGGATGTGGAAAACTAATGGTAACTTCTGCTGGTGTAGATGTGTTGCAGGTGAAATTAAAGTGGTGGAGCAAGAAATAAAAAGTGTGTCATGATGCAGCAGCAAGAAAAGCTAATGCAATTCTGGCTGCATTAACAGAAATGATGTGTCCAAGGGAAGTCATAGTACTGATCTATTCTGTCCTGGTCAAACCCCACCTAGAGTCCTGGGTCCTATTCTGGGCACCCCAGTTGAAGAAGGGCCTTGACAAGCTGGGGGTGCTTAGCCTGGGAAGGAGGAGACTGAGACAGGATATGAGAGTCATCTTCAAATCTCTCTAGAGCTGCCCCATGGAAGATGGAGCAAGCTTGTTTTCTCCAGTGTGGTGTAGTGGTTAAAAGCGGTAGACTCATAATCTGGTGAACCAGGTTCGTTTCCCCACTCCTCCACATGCAGCTGCTGGGTGACCTTGGGCTAGTCACACTTCTCTGAAGTCTCTCAGCCCCACTCGCCTCACAGAGTGTTTGTTGTGGGGGAGGAAGGGAAAGGAGAATGTTAGCCACTTTGAGACTCCTTAGGGTAGTGATAAAGCGGGATATCAAATCCAAACTCCTCCTCCTCCTCCTCCTTTCTGGTCTGGAGGGTAGGACTCAAACCAATGGCTTCAAGTTACAAGAAAAGTGATTCCAACTAAACATCAAGAAGAACGTCCTGATAGTAAGAGCTGCTCGACAGTGCAAAGGTGGTGGGCTCTCCTTCCTTGGAGGTTCTCCCATCAATTCCACATTCTCGTTGTGTTTCTGAGTGTCCAACCCACATTATTGCAGGTGAGACTGAATAAAACGCTTCCTATTCCTAGAGAAATCCTTTGGGATCCCTTTCCCAAAATGGAAAACTTTTCACCCAGCTGTCGCCCACAGGGTCAACATTTTCTGCCACCCACCCCCACCACCCTCCGACGACCACCGTCAGTCATGGGGTCACAGAAGTATGGTTTCTAAACTGGCTGGATCTAGAGTCTGGATACATCAAAGAAGCGCTTCAGTTAAAGGTGTTGTAAATTCAAACACTGAAAACAGGTAGAGAAAATCAGGACTCCACTGCACCATCCAGTGGCACAGTGTTATATTGCACATACAATGCATATCAATCACATTTTCTTTGCCCATGTAATGATGATGATAATAATAATAATAATTTATTATTTATGTTGGGATACTGCCAGGGAGACAAAGTCCATCATGGCCCTATGTCGCCTCCGGACGTCCATCGATCTCCCATAGACACACAGTATCAGCAATTAGCGACATGAGCTCCAGAAATAGCTTGCCACATTCCAGGGCTGATGCACACTCTTATCAGCAGATAATGCACAGCGAAAGATGCACGCAGGAGAGCATTATTTATAAGTTTATTCTGTGTTAGTCAGAACAGAGAAAAACATGACTGCCTGCTTCAGTTTTCAGGCACCGAGAGAGAAAAACGAAAGCAATAGAAAACATAAACATCCTGTGAACAGGAAATGCGCAGACTCTGTGACTCACAAAGCCTGCTCCCTTTTAAGGTGGAACGGAAATATCCTAACATCCTCCCCCTTTCCGTGTAACCTGTAGTACCTGTGGTTCAACCCAATTGCAACCTTTGTACGTAAACCTTAAGTTGTTCTCTGTTAACAACCTTAGACAACAGATCAGCAGGAATTTCATTTCCTGGCATGTAGGACACCTGAATGAGTCCTTTCTGAATACACTCTCTTGCACGATGTAGCTTAATCTGCAAGTACTTGGTTCTTTGCTTGCAACTCTCTGAGTTCAGCAAAGCTAAACAGGATCTATTGTCTTAATACACTTGTATAGGACATTTCACAGAAACTCTGATGTCCTTAAACAGTTGCATCAACCATTCACAATCCATGAGTGAAAATGACAGAGCATTGAGTTCTGCTTCACAGGAACTTAGGCTCACTGTCATCTGCTTCTTGCACAACCAGTCAAACAGGCAGTGGTTGTACATGTAGCATACTCCAGAAGTGCTTGTACCATCCGTGGTGTCACTTCCAAAACTTGCATCTGCAAAGATTTCAAGACCTCCAGTCTTCTGACTGGTAAACCTCAGCCTGTAGTGCAAAGTCCCTTTCAAATAGCGGGCTACGCACTTCAGAGCTTTCCAATCCTGAACAGTAGGATTGTTAGCATGTCTGCTAAGCAGGTTAGTGCTTACAGCTATGTCAGATCTTGAGCATCTAGCAATGAAATTCAACTTGCCTAGAATGCATCTGTACAGCGTAGTGTCAGAAAACGCTTCAGCAGTACTATCTACAGTGGTACCTCGCAAGACGAATGCCTCGCAAGACAAAAAACTCGCTAGACGAAAGGGTTTTTTTTGTTTTTTGAGCTGCTTCACAAGACGATTTTCCCTATGGGCTTGCTTCGCAAGACGGAAACGTCTTGCAAGTTTGTTTCCTTTTTCTTAACACTGTTAATACAGTTGCGACTTGACTTCGAGGAGCAGCTCATAGAACGCGGTGTGGTAGCCTTTTTTGAGGTTTTTAAAGACTTTGGTGATTTTTGAAGCTTTTCCAAAACTTTCCCGACACCGTGCTTCGCAAGACGAAAAGAATCGCAAGACGACAAAACTCGCGGAACGAATTAATTTCGTCTTGCGAGGCACCACTGTACCTGGTAACCTGTCACCATTGGTGTGTCTGCTGGGTTTGCATCAACCAAATTCAACCTGTTTAATACATCAGCAATTTTCTGTGTTTGGTGTACCAGAAAATTACCTGCTTGGTCCCTCTCCACCTGCAGAGAAAGATAGTTGGATACCTCACCAAGATCCTTCATGTCAAAGTGCTCCTTCAGCTGAGCTAGGGTGCTTTGGTACAAAGCCTGATTCTTCCAAAACATCAGAAGATCATCAACAAAACATAAACAATACAGTTTGTTTTGCCCCTCCTCCTTGACAAACACACATGGATCAGCTTTGCCCTGGTGAAAACCTAGAGAAAGCAACGTCTCAGTGAGCTTTGTGTTCCAACACCTGGCACTCTGCTTGAGACCATATAAGGATTTCTGGAGTTTACAGACCATTCCCTTCTGTATCTGCATCCCATCAGGTGGAAGCATAAACAGCTCCTCCTCCAAAATCCCGTACAAAAAAGCTGTATTAATGTCATGATGGGAAACATGCAGTTTCTCCTCCGCAGCAATCTTGAGCATCAGCCGAATGCTCTCATATTTAACAGTGGGTGAGTAGGTTTCGTGGTAATCCTGTCCTGGTACCTGTGAAAAACCTCTGGCAACCAATCTGGCTTTGTGTCTGACAACCTTGCCATTCTGGTCTGTCTTGGCCTTGAAGACCCATTTGCTGCCAACCAGTCTCATTCCTGGGACAACCGGTACCAACTCCCAAGTTTGGTTCCTGTTCAAGGAATCAACTTCAGCCTTCATGGCATTAAGCCAAGGCTCAGCATCTTTAGAGGTTAACTCCTGAACCTCTTTGAAGCTTGAAGGTTCGCACACCTTCTCTGAGCTACTAAGAACAGCAGTTGCCGTCTTAGCAAACTCATCAGCAAATCTCTTTGGAGGTCTGCCCTTTGTGGCTCTCTCAGATCTGCGTACTAGACGCAAGTCTTCTGGACTCATCTCCTCTTTCTTAGGAGAAAAGTGACCAATGGTGAACAGTGGTTCTTCCAGTTCATTGTCAGACGCATCAGATGGTCTGACTGAGGCCTTTGTGCTCTTGTATTCTGCTGTGTCATCACTGTCACTGACACCAGCAGCAGCGCCGCCCACTGAACTGGAATCCGAACTCTGATCATCATCATCACCATCATCCTCAGCAGCTTCCTCAGCTTTAGCTGCTTCTTTGACACCACCTTCATCCTCCTCTGGGTAACTCTGGAAAATTCCCACATTTTCCCCCCACCTAGGATTGTACTCAACACTCTTTGTGAACTTAATGGACTTAGAGTCAGTCATCCATACCCTGTATGCACCTTTTTTGTACCCCATGAACAAACCATGTGCCCCACGCTTCCCAAGCTTGTTGCTTTGTGGGGTGTGTACCCACATGTCAGAACCAAAGATTCTCATGTGCTTGACGTAAGGTTTCTTACCAAACATCTTCTCATAGGGAGTACAACCAATAGGTGATGACAATCTGCGATTATAAGTATAAACAAAATTCGACAGAGCCTCCCCCCAAAACTTATCAGGGAGATTGGCATCATGCAACAAGGTTTTCAAGCCTTGAAGCAAAGTTTGATTTGCTCGCTCCACAAGCCCATTCATCCATGGCGATCTAGGCGTTGACAAGTCATGCTGGATTCCCTTCTCAGTCAGGAAAGCTTCAAACTGCTGAGAAGTGAATTCCCCGCCCCGATCAGTAAAGAGACAGCCGATACATTTACCGTGAACATTCTCCAACCAAGCACAGAATGCCTTGAACCTAGGAAACGCTTGCGATTTCTGCTCGAGCATAAACACATGAATGTACCTGGAAAAAGAATCAATTAGAACCATGAAGTACCTTGCTCCACCCAAAGAGGGCGCAAGTGGACCAACCAGGTCTGCGTGGACTAGCTGGTAGGGTTTGGAAGCCTGCCTGCTAGACTCCTTGCCTTTTGGAGCAACCTTCACCTTGTTCTCTGCACAAGATACACATTTCATGTGATACCTACAGGGTTTGATGTTAAAACCCTGAACCAAC